GTGATCTATCTCATCACTAGTAGAGCTAGAATTGGAAGGACTTCAAACTCAGAAGTCCATGCTACAAATTCGCTCAGCACAGCTACTACGCTGCCTGCTTCTGCAGGAGTATATACTCTCAATGTTAAGGGGGGATTTATTGTTCATTCCGAACAGTACTTTCCAACTCACCCTTATCCTTATCTTCCTTGATTTCCTAGTGCCATGCGGCACTCTACCTTTCTTGCCTTCTATTCGTAGTCCCACGAAGTACTTTCTTACATTCGATCTTGCATGCTCATCGCGAAAAAGGACTTGCGAGAAAGCTGCGGGGAAGTTGCAAAAAGGATACTTTTTGGATACCTTGGTTTTGCAACTTTTCACTGATGGTCAAATGTTGCAGAAATCGTGGTTGCGGGAAAGTTGCGAAAATGTTGCATTCCTGCAACTTTCCCGCAACACAACCGCAACTTATTGGACAATCTTTGGACACGTGTATAAATTTCAGTCACATGTATGCAGTTTCACCACCTGCCACGTGGCATGCGTACAGTTTCGACTTCGAAGTGAACGTACGCCGGTACGTTCGCGAAGATATTTTGCCACGTCAGCCACGATATTTCTGCCACGTGTCATTCGCGATATGTGGACTCAGGCGTGACACTTGGACCATTCAAACTGTGAAAGTTTAGAAGAAAGAAGAGGACTGTACTAGCAAGAATGAGGATACAAATAGCAAACCCTAGAAGGGTTGTACTCGCTATAGAGCACCTCACTACAGGCTAGAGCATAATATTCTAACACACCCCCATAGCCAAAGTGGGGTGTAATCAGCAGAGCAAGCAAAGCAGTACAAGCTCAGGGTGGATCACAATGTCACCACACATTCTGAGCACAAGTTCAAGAAGCAATAGTTTAGAGTTCACAATTATGAGCAAAGCTAGAGGCTATCGCATAGGGCAAGTGAGGAGGAGGAGAGAGAGTGAGAGGAGAGGAGATAGGAGGCGACGGCTGAAGCTGTAGACACACGGCCAACAGGAGGCACACTGGCACAGTGGCTACCGGAACAACGCTCCGGAATACTGGAGTAACTGGCCCCGCGGCTAAAGTAACGGCAGACGAGCAACGGACCCACGGGCGACTGGCACAGTTGGCTACGACTGGGCTACCGGAGCAATTCCCCGGAATACAGGTGCTGCTGGCGACACGACGACAACCTCCATTCAGCTTCCCCAAATGATCCCACTCCCCCTAACACACACCCGCTGCTACACGCCTAGCTCCAGTCCCCCTTCACCCCCCCCTTAGTACCACTCCTCCGGCTCCAACAAATCCACCCCCCTTCAGCGGCAGCTGCAGCACAGGGAGACGGAGGAGGAGGAGGAGCAGGGAACAGTACACAGTGGGTGCACCCCCATACCCCGCACCCCCAAACCCTAATACAGGAGAATGGGGAGTAGGAGGGGTGAGGCACTAGTAGAAGCGCTGGGGGACAGTAGGGAGGGCAGGGGCAGCAAGGAACGGGCCCACCACGGGCCTGGTAGGGTCGCCCGAACCGCGCGCAGGCGGCCCGAGCCGCGCGCGGGCCTGGCGCCGCCCGTACGGGCCGCGCGCGGGCCTGGCGCAGCCCGTACGGGTGGCGCGCGGGACTGGCGCAGCCCGTACGGGCCGCGCGCAGGCCACGACGGGCGACGGGGGGCGACGAACGGGTCCCCGTCGCCCGTCGCGGCGCCTCCCGAGGGCGACGCGCCGGTTGACGGGGCCGAAGCCCGCCGCGCGCCTCGGGGCGCACAGCGGGCAGAAAATCGCCGCGCGCCTCGGGGCGCACGGCGGACAGAAAACCGCCGCGCGCCTCGGGGCGCACGGCGGGAAGAAAACCGCCGCGCGCCTCGAGGCGCACGGCGGGAAGAAAAACTGCCACACGCCACGGGGCGTGCGGCACCGAGTGTATTAGTAGTAGTTGCAGCGGAAGCAAGGAGGTGGTAAGCCCACCCACAGGGTCGATCCAAGGGGATCGACCTGCTCTGATAGCATGTGAAAGTTTAGAAGAAAGAAGAGGACTGCACTAGCAAGAATGAGGATTCAAATAGCAAACCCTAGAAGGGTTGTACTCGCTATAGAGCACCCCACTACAGGCTAGAGCATAATATTCTGACACAAACAAGATGTGCGAACGTGGGAAAATTGATTTTAACATACCGCCGAATTGTCAGAAATCGGAGCATGCGTTTTAGTTACAGGTGTGTTTGAAAGTATTCAGTTTATACACTATATGTATTCTCTTGCACATTTGCATGCATACTTATCAGGATACACAGAGCACGATCTAGGCGTAGAACCAACAGAGCTAATGCAACGACTACAGATCTTCAGGTCTCAATGGCAGATGAATATAGGGCGAAATCACGCTTTGTTTGCGGGCCTGCAAACAGAGATACGACATAGTGTTAGACATGGGTTAGTAGACAGTAATTGTTCCCTACCTCACTGACCTACCGCTCGCGGGCCTTGAATTGAACTGATAACATTGCCATGAACAAGATTGACAGCTCTGCGAAATCCCTGCGAAAAAAAAAAAAAAAGAATATATATCTCGTGGCAGCCACTGACTCTGCAATGGTCTTGGTACCACACAGGAGAAGATAGCTAAGCGTTAGCGTTAGAGGCTGGATGATATATAACTCGATACGAGCATGGGGAAGAAGCCACGACGATTTAAGAGATTTGCAAGCGGAGGCAAAGCGAGACCGAAGGCCTTCCCGCATGCAGAGAGCGTGCTGACGATCTGTGTATTGGGTGGATATGAAGCGGGAACATCAATGAAATGTCAAATTATGATATTGTGTAGGCTATAGTGGGGTAGCCCATATGGGGTACACATTTCTAGGGTTGCATATTTGTATCACTTCCATTCCTTAGTCATTCATTCTCGTTCTACTTTCCTCATGGTATCAGAGCAGGTTCCCCCATGGGAACTGTGCCTAGGGCCCACCACATCGAGTTTTTTTTTCCTGCCCGAAGCGCGCTCAGCCCGAGTCGCGCTCCGGGCTCTCACCTCGGCGAGCCGCCCTAGCGGCCCCCCAACGCCCTAGCGGCCCCGCCGCCCTTCGCTGCACCGACACCTCTCTGCCGTCGTTCTACATCCTCGTGTACGTCGACGACTTAGTCTTTGCCACTACTGACACTGCTGGACTCGCCCACGTGAAGTCCGAGCTGCAGAAGAGACACACGTGCACAGACCTGGGTGAACTGCGCAGCTACCTTGGCTTGCAGATCACCCGGGACAGAGCACGCCGCACCATTACCCTGACTCAGTCACACATGGTGCAGCAGGTCCTTCAGCGCTTCGAATTCACGTACTCCTCGCCTCAGGCCACTCCTCTTTCTACTCGCCACTCGCTCTCAGCTCTGCCTTCGGATGAGTCCGTAGAGTCGAGTGGCCCGTACCCAGAGCTTGTTGGCTACCTCATGTACCTGATGACCTGCACACGACCTGACCTTGCATACCCTCTTAGCATTCTTGCACGCTATGTTGCTCCTGGGAGACACAGACCACAGCACATGGCTGCAGCGAAGAGGGTGTCGCGCTACTTGTGCAGTACGTCGGGCATGGGGCTAGTGCTTGGAGGGCGGAGTCCAGTGGTCCTCAATGGGCACGCGGACGCTTCTTGGGCTGACGACCAGGCTACGCAGCGGTCGTCACAGGGTTACACCTTCAGCCTTGGTTCCGGCTCTGTTTCGTGGCGAGCTACTCGGTAGTCTTCTGTTCTCGGCTCCAGTTGTGAGGCTGAGATCTACGCCGGGGCCATGGCTGCACAAGAGCTTCGCTGGCTTACCTACCATGCTGGCCTTGTGTCGAGAGCAGAGACTGGAGCACAGAACAAAGCACATTGCTCTTCGATACTTCCTCGCTCGTGAGCTACAGCGGCGTGGCCAGTTGCGGCTTGCGTACGTGGCCTCTGAGGCCAACACTGCTGATGTTTTCACCAAGGCACTTCCGCCTTGTGATCATCAGCGCTTCTGCACTCAACTGGGTCTTGTGCCTGTCTTGCCTCACTTGCTCACCCCTTGACCTTGCTTGTACTCTTACATATATATATATATACCTGCTGTTGCTTGTTTAGACTTATATATATGTGTGTACTCCTGCATGTGAACTGGCCTTGTGGCCTTGACCTTGTGCTTGGACTGTGTGGTGACGTTGTGATCCACCCTGAGCTTTGCTTTATTTTGCTTTGCTTGACTGGTCTTGTGACCCCTTGTTCTCCCCCACTTTGCCTATGGGGGTGTGTCAAATTATAATGTTGTGTAGGCTATAGTGGGGTAGCCCATATGGGGTACACATTTCTAGGGTTGCATATTTGTATCACTTCCATTCCTTAGTCATTCATTCTCGTTCTACTTTCCTCATGTAACTGATTAAAGTGGCACGGTGCAGCGCAGCTCGATACAAGAAAAAATGTATCTGCATTCATTGTGGGAAGAGCGAGAGGAAAACGAGAACTGAAGAAGCCTAACAAGTGCGAATAAATGACAAGTGAGGATCACAACAAGAGTGAGGAGAATCGTTTGTAAAAAAAATCAAGCTTTGAGCGCATAACACGGCGCTTCCGCTGCCGGGCAACGCGCTTTACGGCGCACCGTTCGTAGGTAGACGGGTGCTGAGTCCGCGGCGATTCGCGCGCAGAACGTCCTCTGCGTGGGGAGCGCAAGTCGATGAGCTGTATATGGGACGGGAGGTAGAAAAGAAGGGGAGAGATGCAGGCTGAGACGGTAGATCTGGACAGATAGTAGCTTGAATACATACTTCCTATACTAGATTATTACACACACAAAAGGAAGAGCATACGGTATACGCTAGTTGATGCGTGAGGGGATATTCAGAGGCACGATATGCACGCTGGATTGGAAGAAAATGCTGAGAAAGTTGTGTGACCAATGAGCTACGCCACTAGCGTGTTGTGTGAATACGAAAGAGAGATGCTTCTAGAGCTCCGAAATGTGATGATGCGTCTTCACGGATGCCGTAGATTTCTGGTACTAGCATACATCGCACCAGTAATTGGTTAGTAAAAAATCATGAAGGTGGGGATAGCTCAATTCCGGTTACCTAACGTGTGATCCGGGAAGCCACGTCACTTGAACAGAATCTGAACACTTACATTGATTGGGTGTGACATGGAACTGTATGCTAGCTGCCAATTCCGATTCTGGGTTGTGCCTTCGCGAGCCTCGTCTGAGGTTGTATCCCAGTTACTGTGCTCGCCACGTTCGACAATGCCTGCCTGATTCGTGCTGTAGTGTTCATCGATCATACACCAGCAAAGGGGACTCCCGAGATTTGGTCGGACGAAGGTGTACTGTTCGGTGAAGATGTTTCAAGTTTGATGTGTGAAATTCGCGGCTCGGTAAACCCACGTATACAAAATTTGCGCCCCGGCTGACCCACGTAGCTCATGTTCGCGGCTCATGTTCGTGCATGTTGCGGTTTTCACTCAGTGCTTTTCGGATACTTTTCAGGTAGGTTTCTGCAACTTTCCTGCAGCTTTCAGACTTAAAGCCCAAGACCTGAATTACTCAATGGCAGTCAACTGAGTATTTCTAGGTTCGGCGGGCTGCCAGTTGGAGGTTCGGATGGGTTGAGTGACACGCGAAAAACCAAAACCAGCTTGCGACTGAATACAGTTCGCCACAAACTGTGCACTTGCTAATTAGTTGGAAAAATCAGGCAGGGCCCATCTTCCCAAGTTCGACAGACCTGAGAAGCAACATCCTAGGGAAAGTGTGCACAGTTTGAATAGGGAATTACAGGCACTCAAACAAACATAACAAGTCCTAAGTCCCCTTCAGCGAGGCGCGACCTTAGCCTCTATAAATACGAGGAGGAGCCGTTGGGAGCGAATGTCCGCAATGACTGTACCGGAAAATTGTGATTTTTAGGGTGTAGAGGGCAATGGCGTTACTAAACGCAAGGTCGCATGTGAGTTAGCCTAACACATCAAGGCCTGACCTAGCGATTTTCAGCGGTACTCGAAAAGTGTAGGCTAAAACAAGCGCCCTCGACAACGCCCTCAACACATAGGGAACAGGGCGGACATATCCATCGGTCTGCCCCGCATAGCCTTGTTACGCCACCCGTCGGTGCAGCTTAGACTCCCACGCGCTCGAGGCGCTCTCAGCATCAAGCCTCCTGCCCTCCCCGAGAAAGTCCCCTCCCCGCCGATTGCGAGCGCCTGCCTTTCACATAGCGCATGGTGAGAAGCCTCCCGTCGCCCTCATTTCAACTTCCCGTCGCCCAAATTTCAACTTCCCGTCGCCCACATTTCAACTTCCCGTCGCCCACATTTCAGCTTCCCGTCGCCCACATTTCAGCTTCTCGTCGCCCACATTTCAGCTTCCCTTCGCCCCCATTTCGCGTCCCGTCGCCCTCGTATCCCATAGGGTTTCAAGTCGCCCACACTTCCCGAGTCCGGTCGCCCTCAATTCCCTTCCCGAAAACCCACATTACCGGACCCGTCGCCCACAAATCCCTTCCTGTCGCCCCATCTCCCTTCCCGTCGCACTCACTTCCCTTGCCGTCGCCCTCGTTTCCCTTCGTGTCGCCCTCATTACCCTTCCCGTCGCACTAATTTCCCTTACCGTCGCACTCATTTCCCACCCCGTCGCCCTCGTGTCCCTTCCCGTCGCACTAATTTCCCTTCCCGTCGCACTCATTTCCCTCCCCGTCGCCCACATTTCCCTTCCCGTCGCCCTCGTTTCCCCTCTCGTCGCCCTCATTTCCCCTCTCGACGCCCACATTTCCCTTCCCGTCGCCCTCATTTCCCCTCTCATCGCCCACATTTCCCTTCCCGTCGCCCTCATTTCCCCTCTCGTCGCCCTCGTTTCCCTCTCCGTCGCCCACATTTCGCTACCTGTCGCTCACAATTCCCTTCATCCTCCTTTCCTCTCATCCTCCTTTCCTCTCATCCGCCCTTCCTCTCATCCGCCCTTCACGCTCTCATCCTCTCTCCTTCTCATCGTCCCTCCCTCTCATCCTCCTTACCCTTGTCCACCCTTATTCGCGTCCTCCCTCCCCCTCATCCGCCCTCCCCCTCATCCGCCCTTCATCTCATCCTCCATTCCCCACATCCGCCCTTCATCTAATCCTCTGTTCCCCTCGTCCTCCCCTCCTCTCATCCTCCTTTCCTCTCATCCTCCTTTCCTGTCATCCTCCCATCCCCACATCCGCCCTTCTCTCTCATCCTCTCTCCTTCTCATTCTCCCATTCTCCCATACTCCCTTTCTCTCATCCTCCCTTCCTCTCCCCTTCCATTCCACTCGTCCCCCCTTCCTCTCATCCAACCTTTCCTCCCATCCTCCTTTCCTCTCATCCGCCCTTCCTCTCATCCGCCCTTCACGCTCTCATCCTCTCTCCTCCTCATCGTCTCTCCCTCTCATCCTCCTTTCTCTCATCCACCCTTCTTCAGATCCTCCATCCATCTCATCCGCCACCCCCCTCATCCGCCCTTCATCTCATCCCCCCTTCCCCACAACCGCCCTTCATCTCATCCTCTGTTCCCCTCGTCCTCCCTTCCTCTCATCCCCCCCTCCTCTCATCCTCCTTTCCTCTCATCCACCCTTCCTCTCATCCGCCCTTCCTCTCATCCGCCCTTCCTTTCATCCGCCCTTCTCTTTCCTCCTCTCTCCTTCTCATTCTCCCATTCTCTTATACTCCCTTTCTCTCATCCTCCCTTCCTCTCCCCTGCCATTCCACTCGCCCCCCTTCCTCTCATCCAACCTTTCCTCCCATCCTCCTTTCCTCTCATCCGCCCTTTCTCTCATCCGCCCTTCACGCTCTCATCCTCTCTCCTCCTCATCGTCTCTCCCTCTCATCCTCCATTCTCTCATCCACCCTTCTTCAGATCCTCCCTCCATCTCATCCGCCACCCCCCTCATCCGCCCTTCATCTCATCCCCCCTTCCCCACAACCGCCCTTCATCTCATCCTCTGTTCCCCTCGTCCTCCCTTCCTCTCATCCCCCCCTCCTCTCATCCTCCTTTCCTCTCATCCACCCTTCCTCTCATCCGCCCTTCCTCTCATCCGCCCTTCCTCTCATCCGCCCTTCTCTTTCCTCCTCTCTCCTTCTCATTCTCCCATTCTCTCATACTCCATTTCTCTCACGCTCCCTTCAACGCTCTCTCCCTGCCTCCTCATTCTAGCACGCAGCCACCTTTCGGCCAGCAACACCACTCACCAACGGGCAGCTCAGCCACCCTGATCGTCAACCATCGCCCCGTGTGCATGAGCCCGCCTTTCTGAGCCAGGTACGTGCTACCATCCTCACACCTGCCTTATCTGGCCCACCTTTCACTAATCGTCTGGCAAGAAGATTCCCCTCATACCAGAGTTTCCCCCTTGCTCAAGGACAACCGCCGTTTTCTGGAATGCACTTCCAAGTGTCGCTTTGTAAGAAGAATCACTTAGCCATCTCCCCACCAGGGTTCCCCCCATTTTGCGCACCCTACCATACGTTCCGGCCACACAATTGCCCTCTTCAATCATCCCCCCTCCATACCCCTCGTAGTCCCCTACTCTCTCGAAAAATCAACCACTCTAATATCCTTTCTGCCCCTCACTTATACATCCATCACATCCCATCCTTACGCCCCAACATCCCATCCCTCCGCCCTCCCTTCCCATCCCTCCGCCCTCCCTTCCCATCCCTCCGCCCTCGCATCCCATCCCTCCGTCCTCCCTTCCCATCGCTTCGCCCTCATTTGAGCCTGGCCCCCTCACATCCCATCCATCCGCTCTCTCATCCATTCTTGTCGCCGTCAGGGCTCATCTCCCTCACTTCCCTTCCTGTCGCCTATGGCCCCATCACTCCATCTGCGTTCACCTGAGGTCGCTCGCTCACTGTGCGCCATTCATGACAACATGCTCCCCACTCACCCTTCCACCCAGCATTCGTGCCTCTCTACAAACCTACCACCCCATTCCCTTTCCATTCAGTCCCATCCTGCCCATCCAGGCTTCGATGGCGGACCATCCAGTGTCTAGTGTGTGCAGCACATTCAACCAGCGTCATTATACTGTCCATTGGAAACTCAGAGCCCCAGTTTGCTACCTGCGTGTGGGGCTAAGCATGCTTATGGCTGACAATAAAGTGGCTACGCATAACGATCTATTATCAGTCTACATGCAAGCTGCGCCACATGTCACAGAGAGACTTATGAGGGCAGCAAGACACGCAGGTAACAACGGAGAATAAGGGTGTCTGTCGCTTGATATAGTGTTGTAATGTGCACTATACGTCGTGGACAGTGTGTTCTGTTCTCACAGGCTGATGCGCTTGCATGGTTTTGCGACAGGTGCGGGTCCTGGAGGAGAGAGCGCTGGCCAAGTTGTGAGGATGCATCTTGAATCCGACTCAAAGGCCTTCTGGAAGCGCATGGGGAGAGGGACCACAACGGTGGAGGATCTGTTAGCGAGGCCAGACCGATCCTTGATAGGTGTAGAGTTTAACTTTCCAAAATGGGAGAGAGGAAAAAATGGCGAGCCTAGAAGAGTAGAAGGAAACGGATGGGGCGGTGCACGCAACCAAGCTGCAGCAAGCGTCCCGCCGGTAGAAGGTAAGAACGTAATAAGATGCTCGTTCTACTAAAAACTTCCCTCCCCCTCCTAGCCCTGTGGGCCTGATGCTTGTTTCCCCCATGGCACTGCCTAAGACTAATACGAACCCGACCCCCCCACCACCTGCCCTACTATTCTGCCTGTTATCTCTCACCAACCCCCAATCCTATTTCTGTCCCTATTCGCTGAATTCTCTTCCCCGTTGCACTGCCCATAAAACTGTCGCCCCCCGCTCTGCCCTGAACCCTAGTCCTTTCCACCCTCCCCCCACCTGCCTTGAAGCCCTTCGCCCACGCCTCTTGTCGGAGTCATTTCCCACACAACCATCCTGAATTCTGCACTCCATTCCTAAAGTCTCTTCCTCCACCTCTCGAATAATGCTTCAGCATTACCTAATCCTTGTTCCCTTGATGCATGTCAACAGAAACCCCATAAACAAATGAGGACGGGCATGGGCCGTGCTTGTCGGATGGCTCCGTATATGTGGTCGAGGGGGTGAGTGTTGAAGACCCTACACGACCGCATGGCGCTCATTCGAGCGAACAAAATGGTGGCTATTCTGAGGGGCCAAACAGGTACAAGCAATAATTGTCCTATGAAATACTAACCCATAAGTTCATTTCCACATTTATTGATAAGATGTAGAGTAGCACGTGCAGCACGATTACAAAAACCAATCCAAATTTGTATCCCGCTTGATTTCTGTCCATGCAGCGTGGATGCTGGCAGCATGACGCGCAAGCGTCGTTGGCCCCGTGGTTGGCCAAACCCCCCAAATTGGGAAGATTTTCCAGTAGACATGGTGTGTCTTCTCGATCCGAGGGTGATGGTATCGTTCTTTTGTGGTCGCGCCTTAGGCATATGCGTGAGGTCTGCGTGCAGAGATGCAATGCAACTTGAGTCGTGGAAGCGGTCATGGGCATGTCTGGGGTTGCTGTGGTTGTGCAATGTCTGCTCAGCCAAGGAAGAATTTTGGTCAAGTAGTCGAGTGAGAGATGACCTACCTCCCAGCAAGCGTGGTCCACGTAGTCCGCTATTGATGGGTAAGATGATTGGAGCATTCGCTCTTGCCGGGATCGGGTATCAGCAGATGTGGGAGGTATGTCGCACCCTAGGCGTGCCGAGGATCGGGCATGAAACATATTACAAGTGTTTGAAGGGCGACAATGGTTTGTGGAGTGTAATAATATCAGTGGCCAGTCAAAACATGATGAGAGTGCGTGCGAGCATGGCACTGCGTCCAGGTCTAAAATGGTTATGTGTTGACGGTAGGTATTCGCAAGTGAGAGAGGCGCGATGGTGTACCGTAACATGGTTGGATAGGGAGAGTCAAAGAATGGTTCATTATACAAACACAAGGAAACATAGGGACGACCGGTCATCCGTTAGGCTCGAGCGAATTGCATTTGACCAGGGCATGGATGAACTGAGTAGGGATGGGTTTGTCAGAATCTTAGCTTGGCTAAGGAGCCATAGCTAGTGAGAAGTTCGAGTGAGTTTGAGTTAGGAGAGTCGAGAAAGTTGAAAAGAGAAGAGGAGTGGTTTCACTATAGAGCGAGCAGTACATATAGGCAAGATGAAAGGTGCACCACCAAAACAGAACATTATATAACTACACTAGTCTACACTACAGGCAATTACAAAACAATATATAGATTTATATATTATTCTGACACGCCCCCATAAGTGCCTGTAGGGAAGAATATGCAGTCAACGCCCCCATAATGGGGTACACCAAGCAGAGTGCAGTTGAAGTAGCAGCAGTAGGCAGGAGCAGTGACAACCAGTGCAAAAAACAGAGAACAGAAGGGAGAGAGGAGAGAGAGAGGGAGAGAGAGGAGAGGAGGTGGTAGGCTCTGGTTGGTCACCCTCTACATCCCCTCACCCTCCCCCTCCCCCTCCCCATCCCCCTCACACTGCTGCAGGAGCAGCAGAGGGGGGGGGGGGGGGGGCAAACGGAGGAGAATGGGGCCGTAGGGCCAGGGGACCAGACATCACCCATCACCCCCACACCCGCCACCCCCAGTCCCTCCCCGGGCTCCCCCACACTCCCACACCCTCCCCCCCAGCGGCAGCTGCAGCAGAGGGAACAAAAGGAGGAGGAGAAGAGGGGGGGGGGGGGGGGGGGGGCGACGCACGGCCTCCCCGGGCGCCAAAGCAAGCGGCAGAGGGGGCGACGACTGCCCCCCCTTTTCAGGCGGCCCCCTCAGGTCGCCTTGACAGGTGACGAGAAGAAGGGGGGGGGGGGGGTGCACGTGCCCCCGGTGTGCCGTAGCTGGTGACGAGGCATGGCCGGGACGGGGTCGGGACCGCAGGTGTAGGAGACGGGCGGCTCACGGGCGGGCGGGTGGCTCGCGGACTGGCGGCTCAGAGGCGGCGGCTCACGGGCGGGCGGCGCACGGGCGGGCGGCGCACGGGCGGGCGGCCCACGGGTGGCGCCGGCTCACGGGCGGGCGGCTCACGGGCGGGCGGCGCACGGGCGGGCGGCTCACAGACGGGCGGCGCACGGGCGGCGCCAGCGGCTCACGGGCAGGCTGGTGGCGCACGGGCGGGCGGCTCACGGGCGGCGCCGGCTGGTGTCGGGCTGCGCGCGGGTGGGCGGCTCACGGGCGGCGTCGGTTCACGGACGGGCGGCGCACAGGCGGTCGGCGCACGGGCGGGCCACTGGCGGTTCACGGGCAGCGGCTCACGGGCGGCGGCTTCGCAGACGTCGGCGCACGGGCGGCGAGGCCGCAGTGAAGGGCGGCGAGACCGCGACGTAGGGCGGCGGGGCCGCGACAGTAGAGAGGCGGCGAGGCCGCGACAGTAGGGCACACCACGGGGCGTGCAGGACACTCAGTAGCAGCAGAAGCATTAAAGTGGGGCCCACAGGTCAGGACCTTGTCACTCTGATAGCATGTCAGAATCTTAGCTTGGCTAAGGAGCCATAGCTAGTGAGAAGTTCGAGTGAGTTTGAGTTAGGAGAGTCGAGAAAGTTGAAAAGAGAAGAGGAGTGGTTTCACTATAGAGCGAGCAGTACATATAGGCAAGATGAAAGGTGCACCACCAAAACAGAACATTATATAACTACACTAGTCTACACTACAGGCAATTACAAAACAATATATAGATTTATATATTATTCTGACAGGGTTTTGCGTAGATGGCATCATAACGGATGAGGGTACTGCTTTCAAGAGTGCTGCTTGGGATATAGGGTTGAGACATCAGATTGACTGGTGGCACAAGTGTGGTACAGAGGTTAGAAGTTTCCGATCAGAGGTGCAAGATGCTAAGCGGAAGGTTGTAAAGACGGTAGCGGAGGCCAGCTGCTGTGAGGATCTGTACTTGATTACCAATAAACTGCTGCAGGATTGGCTGCGAGCTGCACCCAGAGAGGGCAGGAGGCCACCTTTGCCCACTACAAAGAAAGAGCTCGTAGCTGAAGTGTGCACTCTGCGTGGGTTTGTCTTCAAGGATATGGATCCCGCCGATGCAAAATGGTTACACCCTTTATTGCAGCAAGTACTTCAGAGCCGGGGAAATGGGAGTGCAGAGCCGGTCATCACAGAGGTCCAAGGGGTCTCTTTACCAGATCGGATGGCTCAACCTCGATCAGGAGGCGCGGTTGGAGATGGGGGGGTGGAGAATGCGGACGGTTTACACGACGAAACAGCCACTGTGGAGGTACAGTGGCCGGATGTGGCTGAATTATGGAGCTACGACGCGCATCCAGTGTATGGGATACGGCCGTCCTCGTATGCTTCCCTGGTGCTCATACAGGCTTGGGACGGGTTTGAGGGGCGTTCTTCGTTCTTGAGAGAAGAGGCCACCAGCCAAGGTAACATTCATAAGGCCTTGACTCTCTCATCCTACTACCTACGAGGTTTCGTTCACACTCCATTCTCATTTTCCAGCCCACCTTCCCGGGCAGGGGTGGTTTTTGCAATCCTCTCTTCTCGATTATTTCCCTCGTACCGTCCTATTTCCGTCTCCATCCTCTCATCTACCTTATTATTTAACCTTGCCCCCTTGAATACCAACCTGACCATACCTTGGTCACATTATGCGCAGGCAACCAAGATGGGGCTCAGGAAGCGACGGCGCCCGAAGACATGGGAGGCACCCAAGCCACAACGGATAGGGCTGCGGAGGAAGAGGGCGTAGGGGCTGCCCCGGAAGAAGAAACTCCTAGGAGGTGGGGACGGCGAAGGCAAAGGTGAAGGACAAGCCGTGGAGACGGTGGAGGCGTCGACGGTGAGGGAGAGATAGAGGCTAGGGATAAGGAGGTTACCGTTGCTGACCGTCTTGCTGTGCATTTCTACCACTGTATGATGCGCAGGGGGGTGATGGCCCGAGCGGGGTACACTCGGTCCCCCGAGGATGTCTCAGCCGAACTCTGCCTTGCACCGGATCATTTCGCAAGACTTCATTTTGGGTGCAGCAGAGGCGGAACCAAAGTTCCGAGGTGTGTCGCAGAAAACTGGGGTGAGGAGAGTGCGGTGTATGAACCGAATTCTGCGACTCATTTGGCCGTACGAGAGTGGTGTGAGCGGCATTTTAGCCCTGCCAAGGTCGCATGTATCGTGGAGGGTGCAACAAATTTGATGAATGAGTCGTTTCACTCCCTTATCCTCAGGTATGCTCCCAAGCGAATTCTCTTCAAGGACAGTTATCCGCCTCGATTGGCATTAACAGCTCTTCACTAGAACAACACTATGGACCGTGTTGTTCGGGCATATGTCACACGTGTGCGACACGCGACAAGAACGCGTCGTGGTCGGAGAGATCGGGTGCTCGGACCGATGGATTGGAGCTGGGTTGACGGCATCTTGAGAGAGTGGAGGCGACCATTTACAGATGGGGTCGAAAATGCCGCGACTGCCGCCAACATTGACGGCACCCCACCTCCAAGAGAGATAGCAGAGGAGGAGTCACCACAAGCAGAGTCTCCCACAGCTGCCGGGCCATCCCAAGGTGTTTCTTTCGGATCGGGGGAAACACAATTGAGAACTCCAATCGCGTCGCGGGCTGCGCAGCCCCATACGACGCACCTCGCCCCGACCGGCGCACGTCGCAACTTACTTGGTATGTACATAATGTGGCTGTGTTGTGGGGGTCATAGAAAGTAACCGCGTGTTGTCTCCGTGCTTTTCGTGTTTTCATTGACTGATTTAATCTCCGTGAATGTGATACTAGGTGACATGGCACCCTAAACACGCGGAGATTGAGACCGGTTCTGGAGACCCATACGATGTCACAAGAGCACCGACCTGGTGTCATGTCACCTGCACCCTTTCTTGAGACGCACCCCCTGCCCCTCCCCCCTCCCCTTCCCCCCCTGCAGGACACAGTGGTGGTGGTGCTGAAAGGGGAGGGTGCGCTGCGCTTCCGTCCCAACAGCACAGACCAGGTGTCGCCGGCACCCTTCGCCTCCACGCCCTTCCATGCCAACTCCACCGTCATCATTCCGCGCAACACCGTTCACCAGGTACGGCAACGAGGTGAAACAGATTGTAGCAGGCTAGAACTGGACATGGAAGATTCCTGGAAAGGGTGCACCATTGGGCAGGTAGCAAATCATCCGTTCGAGGGCATTTTCTACTGAATCAATCAAGGGGTGTGCACCCAAAACGTTACCCTCCCCCACCCCCGTCTCCCCTCTCACCCATTCCCTCTCCCCCTTTTTTCCCTCCCACCCCCTCATCCGCCCCATCCCCTTCCCCTTGTCCAGCTCCCAATACTGGTTCAGTCCTGTTCCCCTCCCTTGCCTGTCCCATCCTCTCTCATGTCCCACCTTCATATCCCCCACTGCATGTTAGCCAACGGAGAGCATGCTGCATATCTGTGAAGAGAGTGGTCAAGACCTCACACAGGAGGTGAGTCATTGCACTGTCTGCTCTGCATTGCTCATGCTGTCCGTAGTGCATGTTCCGCTCGCCGTGGCTGCTCTGTCCGCACCACATGCACTACACTGAGACACACTCCCAAGTGTACTGTCTGGCCTGATACATGCACTCGGCACCACTTTTTGCAAACTTGTTTCCGTAGTACCTGTCTCCACCTCTCTCCACCTATCTCGACCCTCCCGCCTCTCTCTTCACTCAGATCCGCAAGGGCAAGGGCAAGCAGCATTGGACATCAGCCAAGTCACCATCAGCCCCATTCATCATTGCACCTACACGTGTTCACGTGCAACTCTAAGCGTGTGCTTGCCTCGCACTAATCCCGTGCACGTGAGGATGCCGTTTTTTCACAAGTAGTGTAGGCAAATGACGCAACACGCTCCCCTATGGCTAGAAGCTGAGAAGTGAAACATGTCCTCCCCCATCAAATAACATACTTGACTGCACACATAGGGCTTCTTCATTGATCTATCCATCATAGCTGGATGGTCATCCATCCACATGGCAAACTATTGCAGACTGTGTAAAAAGATTAACACATGTGCACAACAAATCGTACCCGATAACCATCCCTCCCTCCCTAACAATCAGTAAATTCCAGACTATTGCAGACTGTGTAAAAAGAGGAACACATGTACACAATAAATCGTACCCGATACCCATCCCTCCCTCCCTAACAATCAGTAAATTCCAGACTCCTGCGTGGCCACATTGACAATTGACCTAGCATCATTTGACCTCATTCCAAAATCAATCTCGTCAGGGATGCTCCATTCCAAGTTGAACCAGTCCACATCGCCTTGACTACATTTTTTGTAACCCATGCCCGTTGGCTCGGGGTAAAGCGAGCCGATCACAACGTGGATTAGCCATGGCAAAGTCACCTGTGCAAATGGATGATTACCTAACAAGGCAGAGTATTGAATGTAGCAACGAAAACGATGGTTCTTTGGCCCCATAGGTTGACCTTGAGAATCCTCTTCCGTGTTTTTCCCCAAACACACCCTCAGAATGCTCGCCACACTAATTCTTTGACTCCCGGGGCCCTCCTCATCCGACAATCCGAGCCAATGTCGCGCCCAAGCGTCAAGCACACGATGCTGCTTGGCATATCGCCCCTCAAACTCAGATATGGACCACCGTTCTTTCGCATGTTGAACCTGCGGGGGCAAGCCCGTTGGCTGCACAACTCTTCGAGCTCGAACCCTGGGAAAGGGACGTGTTGTGCTCGCAGCAACTGAACGAGTATGGGCTGAAAGGGTGCCCGTACTTGCCGTGAACATCGACTCCGGTCCACGTCGCCGACCCCTCTCCTCCTCATCATCCTCAAAACCCTCCTCCCCAACCCTGAATCCAAGCGTCAGCCGTCTCCGAGGAGTACGTCTCCATGAAGACATGGCTGATGAGGTGGACTGGTTTAGAGGGTGAGAAAAGGGAACATCAGGCAGAAAACAAGAAGGGAGAGGGAGGGGTTAGGGAGTGAATGGGTTTGGGGGGGGGGGGGGGGGGGGTGGGAGGAGAACTATCGGATTACGCAGGTCATTGAATTGAGTTGGCTGTGAAGGGGAGGGTGGGCAGTTCAGGAACTAAACAACAGGTCCGAAAGCACCCTGCCCTGTCAGAGTGGAGCACGGGAGGTGAGGAGAGAGGAGCACCCTGCCCTGTCAGAGTGGAGCACGGGAGGTGAGGAGAGAGGAGCACCCCACCTGTCAGAGTGGAGCAAGGGAGGTGAGGAGAGAGGAGCACCCTGCCCTGTCAGAGTGGAGCACGGGAGGTGAGGAGAGAGGAGCACCCAGTAAATGTCAGAGTGGAGCACGGGAGGTGAGGAGAGAGGAGCACCCCACCTGTCAGAGTGGAGCAAGGGAGGTGAGGAGAGAGGAGCACCCAGTAGATGTCAGAGTGGAGCACGGGAGGTGAGGAGAGAGGAGCACCCAGTAAATGTCAGAGTGGAGCACGGGAGGTTAGGCGAGAGGAGCACGCAAGGTGAGGAGAGAGGAGCTTCGCAAGGTGTGGAGAGAGGAGCACGCAGGGTGAATGGAGGGCGCGCGGGGAGGCAAGAGGAGTGCGCGCGGGGCGGCGATAGGATGCCGCGCAGGAGGCGAGAAGAGCGCACGCGGGAGGCGAGAGGATGGCGCGCGGGCTTACGAGAAAGGAGGGCGCGCAGGGAGGAGAAACGTGGGTGTGTGCACGGGCTTCCTGAGTGAGGAAACGTCAGGGCCCCTGTCAGGATAGTGGGGAGTGGTGGGGACACGCATACGTCGAAAGTGGGTGGTCGCGGAGTGGTGAACGCAAGCGTCGCAATGAGGCACGACGACGTTTCAGGATGGATAGGGGGAGAGGGTGAGGAGCACTCGCAGGGAGGCAAGAGGAGCACGCAAGGTGAGGAGAGAGGAGCACGCGCGGGGAGGCGAGAGGAGCACATAGGGTGAGGAGAGAGGAGCACGCATGGAAAGGCGAGAGAAGCAACGTGAGAAGAGAGGAGCACGCGCGGGGAGGAGATAGATTACGCAAGGCATGGAGAGAGGCGCACGCGCGCGGTGGCGCGGTCACGCCGAAAGATGAGGAGAGAGGAGCACACGCGGGGAGGCGAGTGGAGCACGCAAGGTGAGGCGAGAGGAGGATGCGCGGGGAGGCAAGAGCCGCGCGCGCGGGGGGGGTCGAGGAGCACGCGAGGGGAGGCGAGAGGAGCACGCGCGGGGAGGCGAGAGAAGCACGCGTGGGGCAGGCGAGAGAAGGACGCGCGGGGAGGCAAGAGATTCGCGCGCTATGAAGGCGAGAGGAGCACGCGAGGGGAGGCGAGAGGAGCACGCGCGGGATGGTGAGAGGAGGTCGCGCGGGGAGGCAAGAGGAGCGCGCGCGGGGAGGCGAGAAGAGTGCGCGCGGGGTGGCGAGAGGATGCCGCGCGGGCTTACCAGAAAGGAGCGCGCGCAGGGAGGAGACCCGTGGGGGTGTGCACGGGCTTTCCGAGTGAGAAAACGTGTAAGGATAGAGTGGTGGAGACACGACTACGTCGAAAGTGGGTGGTGGCGGAGTGGTTCGCGAAGCAATGCCAGGGGGCACGGCGACGACCACGAGGAAGCGATGGGAGGGGATAAGGGTAAGGTCGATGGGAGGGCAATGGCAACGGGGACCACGGGGGAAGCGAGGCTGACGGTGTGTGGAGGGGGAGGACGATGTGAGGGGATAGCGAGGTTCACCTTTTGAGACGGAAAGGAGCGACGTCTTGTAATATGCGCTTCAAGCCTTTCACGCTTGGGCCGTCGCAATAACAACTCTCGCGGAGCAACGGGGTTGAAGGTAGGAATTTGCTACGGGCAAAAGCTTAGAGTCTCGAGTAGTAGCCGCACAGCCTTTCCTGAATTACCATTTTCAAGCAAACTGTGCATAGGCAGTTCCCTTCTTCCTTGGGCAAAGGGTGGTTGGGACTGTCGCCAAGATGACGCGTTCTGATATACGACGCAGTCCTTATGGGATGCGACGCCTGTCAGGTAACCATCCTGGCTCGGGAGGTCAACTTTGGGCTCGGAAGGCAAACTGTGCACAGTTTGCCTTTTTTAGTTTGTAATTCAGGTCTTGGGCTTTAAACTCGATTTTGAGCCAAACCCTTTTCCGCGATGCTATATCAACCTTGCTTGTCCTTACCATTATCAACCAACACTCCACCTCCCCACTACTTATAATAACCATCGGCAAGCCTTCACTTGCCAACAGCGCCCGTTTCACCTCACTCTCGCCTCGCCTGCACACTTGTGCTCATCGTCACACGTCCTCGTCAGCCTTTCCTGAGTCACGGAGCTCAACAGCCATGGCCCACGTTCAGTCCACATCGTCGGCGCGCGTCATCACCTTCGCCGTGCTCTACTCCGCGTCAATCTGTGCGTTGATTCTCCCTCTCCTGCGCCCCGCTGAAGCAGTGCCCCTCTCTGATGTGCTGTCTAAGCTCCGCCATAAGGACCAATTTCTCACCGGGCACCTATCCTCCTCTGGAATGGTGGAGTTTGCCGCGGGATACGAGAAGGTGAACGACATCAGCGGAGTCTCGCTTCTGCTGCCTGAAAACGACGCCTGGAATTCTGCCCTGATGGGCTATCAGGGCATGAACCCGTCCGCTACAACCGCGACGGACCCGCTTCTTGAGGCGCTCGACACAATGGTGAAGTCCAAGGGGGCCGTGGCGAGTCTCAACGCCATGTCTGCCAACGCCAAGAATGCCATGTCCCGCCTGGCCAAGTTCATGGCGATCCGCGAATACATCTCATCCCAGGATATGGCATCCGGCAAGGTGAGTTCTTATCCAGCGGTACTAGCCGACAAGTTCGCACATTTCTGCATGTGTAATGCGCATTTCGAAATGCTCATGTATGTGTTCCTACGCTATGATCGTCATCGTTCACCATGAGCCTGTTTTCCCTTCCGAGCAGTACAAGGACGGGCGGTTCAGCCTAAACACATTGGTCAACCAGCCACTGTATCTCTACGGCAACGTCACTGGTGACGGCAGTGACACGGCCTTGGATCACGTCTTCATTGGGACCGACTTAGGACCCATCGAAGCCGTAAGAGCCATTGCGACTAACTCGAGCGACCCCATGAGCATGCAGTTTCGGAAGTGGGGTAACGCTGGAGTGCCGAAGGCAGTGGCGCGTGTTAACCAAGCTGTTGGTGAGGGCGTGACCGGAAAATTTCTTGGCATCACCACGTTATCTTCTGATACGGAAGCGATTGAGGTCTCTAGCGTGGTGTTCCCCGCCAACATGGGCTCCCTCACCAGCTACGATGCCGTGACACCGTACGGCAAAGGTACGCCCTTTCTTTCTGTGACTGCAGGTGCTGGCACTTTTGCCTTGTATGGAAGCTCCATGGTCCTTGGATCACGTCTTCATTGGGACCGAGTTAGGACCCATCGAAGCCGTAAGAGCCATTGCGACTAACACGAGCGACCCCATGAGCGTAGAACAGTTTTCGAAGGGGGGTAACGCTGAAGTGCCGAAGGCAGTGGCGCGTGTAAACCTAGCTGGTGGTCAGGGCATGACCAAAAAAATTCTTGGCAAGACCACGTCATCTTCTGATATGGGTGCGATTGAGGTCTCTAGCGTGGTGTTCCCCGCCAACATGGGCTCCCTCACCAGCTACGATGCCGTGTCACCGCACGGCAAAAGTACGCCCTGGAGTGTTTACTATTGATGCTAGCCGGCCCTTGTGTGGCTCCCAGTGCAATGCCGCAACTGGAAGTTGGTATGCAATGGCGTGCCTAAGTATATTCTTTACCAAGTTTTGATTGTCCCTTTTTTTCTGTGACTGTGCAGGTGCTGGCACTTTTGCCTTGTATGGAAACTCCATGGCCCTGGTTCTTTCGATGATTGCAGCATCCTTGATCTAGTTTGTGTTGTTTGTCCAGGTTTGCCAGTGCTTTTGGCTTGGTTTGTTAGTAGATAGCCTGCCACATTCGTGGCTTTCTATTTGTGTTTTTCCGTAGTCAATGAGAGTCATAGTTCGTCCGGATTCCTTACCCTAAATCTTAAACCCGACTCGACCATTTTTGTAAAACAGTAACTTAGGGACTAGAATTTGGATGGCACGAGAGATGGGCCAAGAGAGGGTATGCATTATGGCAACAAGGGAAGGTGGGAAAGGGGGTACACCACCAGCATAGAAATACTACTGTGATACTACACTAACTGTACATGTAGTTACACAAGTTTATATAAATCTAACATCCCCCCTTAACTGCACGGAACACTAGGTAGTGTAGGGGCGCTCTACCCGAAGTGCAGCGATCACTGTGCCGCATCTTGAACACCCGTGGTTGAACCCCCACAGCAGGTGCCCAGTTGTGGTTGAACCCCCGCAACTGGTGCCGGTGTGCGCAACGAGGGGCGACCATTGTTGATGGGAGTTGGCCTCGCCCTCGCTTGGCCAAAGCTGACTTCGTGGTCGAGTGTGTGGTAGATGCAACCGACCCTCCAGTATGAGAGATTTGGAGCTTCTGCGCAGGTTGGGTTGGGACAAAGACCTCGTGCACAAGGTGAAGGGTTGCCTGTACACAAGGTGTTAGAGTAGGTTGATAGGGATGATTCAACTATCGAGGAGTTTGGTACAAAAGTAAAACCTAAGGGGTTGTACCCCACAGTGAGTACCCCACTAAAGCCTACCTAACCTATAACATATAATATATGTTTGACACACCCTCATAGGCAAAGTGGGGGAGAGCAAGGGGTCACAAGACCAGACAAAAGAAGCAAAGGAAGCTTAGGGTGGATCACAACGTCACCACGCAGTCTGAGCACAAGCAAAAGGCCACAAGGCCAGTTCACGTGCAGAGATATATATGTAACAACAACAGCACAGTGATCTCTACCTACAAGAGCAAGCATGCAGATATACATATAGATCACAGTACAAACAAAGCCTACACCAAGTGAGGAAGCGTGGGCACAAGGCCTAACAAAGTGCAGAAACGCTGATGATCACCAGACGGAAGCGCCTTGGTGAATATATCAGCAGTGCTGGCTCGACTAGCCACATAAGCAAGACGAAGCTGGCCACGCTACTGCAGCTCTCAAGCAAGAAAGTAACGCAGAGCGATGTGCTTTGTTCTGTGCTCCAGTATGTGCTCCTCACACAAGGCAATGGCGGCCTTGTTGTCGACGTACAGAACTGGAGGAGCACGAGGCTGCTCTCCCTAGTCGGTCAGCAGGTAGGTGAGCCAGCGTAGCTCCTGTGCAGCCATGGCTGTGGCATAGATCTCGGCCTCACAGCTGGAGCCGAGAACTGAAGACAAACGTGTAGAACGCCAGGAAACTGAACCAGAACCAAGGCTGAAGGTGTAACCCTGTGACGACCGCTGCGTAGCCTGGTCGCCAACCCAAGAGGCGTCCGAGTGACCAGTGAGGACAAGTCACCCCGTCCTCCAAGCACGAGCCCCATGCTCGATGTACTGCACAAAAACCGTAGTACTCTCTAAGCAACATCTTTGTGCACCTTTCGGTGCCGACCAGGAGCCACGTAGCAAGCCAGAAGGCCAAGAGGGTACGCAAGGTCAGGACGAGTGCAGGTCATCAGGTACATGATGTCAATGGGAGTTGTGTTTGGCCCCGTCCTTGCTTGGGTGGAGCCGACCGTGGAGCCACGAAATCGCGGGGGACCGTGGAGCCACGAGATCGTGGGGGACCGTGGAGCCACGAAATCGCGGGGGACCATGGAGCCACAAAATCGCGGGGGACCGTGGAGCCACGAAACCGCGGAGGACCGCGGTAGCCACGAAAGCGCGGGAGGACCGCGAAATACCCGGTCAACCAAGATACACAAACGTCGTGCGCGAAAGTCGCCGAGGATGTTGTCTGCGAGGACGACCTCGGGGGTGGTATCCCGAGGTCGACGTGGCTGGTGGGCGCCGTCACGAGTGAAGTGTCTGTCAGAATCAGCGAACAAGAATGAATGAACTAGCAGTGAAATGAGTACAAGTAGGAAACCCTAGAATTGTGTACCCCCTATAGGCTAACCCACTGTAGCCTACACAAGCAGAACACATATAATGTTTGACACACCCCCATAGGCAAAGTGGGGGAGAACAAGGGGTCACAAGACCAGTCAAGCAAAGCAAAGCAAGCTCAGGGTGGATCACAAAGTCACCACACAGTCCGAGCACAAGAGCAGGGCCAGAGGCCAGTTCACATGCAGGAGTACAGACACATATATATATAAAACTAGACAAGCAAGAGCAGATATATATATATGTCACAGTACAAGTGAAGTCAAGAGGAGAGTAAGTGAGGCAAGACAGGCACAAGACCCAGCTGGGTGCAAAAGCGCTGATGGTCACAAGGCGCGAGTGCCTTGGTGAACACATCAGCAGTGTTGGCCTCAGAGGCCACGTACGCAAGTCGCAACTGACCACGGTGCTGCAGCTCACGAGCAAGGAAGTAGCGGAGAGCAATGTGCTTCGTTCTGTGCTCCAAGCGCTGCTCTGGACACAAGGCCAGCATGGCCTTGTTGTCTACGTACAGCACTAGAGGAGAACGAGGCGGCTCTCCAAGGTCAGTCAGCAGGTAGGTGAGCCAGCGAAGCTCCTGTGCAGCCATGGCCCCGGCGTAGATCTCAGCCTCACAACTGGAGCCGAGAACCGAAGACGAGCGAGTAGACCGCCACGAGACAGAGCCGGAACCAAGGCTGAAGGTGTAACCCTGTGACGACCGCTGCGTAGCCTGGTCGTCAGCCCAAGAAGCGTCCGCGTGGCCGGTAAGGACCACTGGACTCCGCCCTCCAAGCACTAGCCCCATGCCCGACGTACTGCAAAGGTAGCGCAATACCCTCTTCGCTGCAGCCATGTGCTCCGGTCTGTGTCTCCCAGGAGCAACATAGCGTGCAAGAATGCTCAGAGGGTATGCAAGATCAGGTCGTGTGCAGGTCATCAGGTACATGAGGCAGCCAACAAGCTCTGCATACGGACCACTCGACTCTACGGACTCATCCGAAGGCAGAGCTGAGAGTGAGTGGCGAGTAGGCAGAGGAGTGGCTTGAGGCGAGGAGTACGTGAAGCCGAAGCGCTGAAGGACCTGCTGCACCATGTGTGACTGAGTCAAGGTAATGGTGCGGCGTGCTCTGTCCCGAGTGATCTGCAAGCCAAGGTAGCTGCGCAGTTCACCCAGGTCTGTACACGTGTGTCTCTTCAGCAGCTCGGACTTCACGTAGGCGAGTCCAGCAGTGTCCGCTGTGGCAAAGACCAAGTCGTCGACGTACACGAGGATGTAGAACGGCGGCAGGGAAGTGTCGGTGCGAAGAAACAGCGACGGGTCAGCAGTAGAAGGAGCAAACCCAAGAGCCGCAAGCGTAGTCCTCAGTGTGTCGTGCCACTCACGCGGTGCCTGGCGGAGACCGTAGACTGGCCGTCGGAGGCTCCACTAGGTGCCAGGAGGGAAAGTCCCAGTGAAGCCAGGTGGACGGCGAAGCCAGATCTCCTCGTGCAGGCTACCCTGCAAGAACGCAGTGCTGAAGTCGAGAGAGTGAAGCTCGTAGTCGCGCTCAGCGGCTATGTGCAGCAGCACCCGAAGAGTAGTCATCTTTGGGGTGGGAGAGAAGGTCTGAAAGTAGTCAACTCCCTGCCGCTGGCTGAAGCCACGAGCAACGTACCGTGCCTTGAAGACAGGTGGAGAGCCCGGCGGCCGCTTCACCCTGAAGATCCACATGCCACTGACGATGTTCGCCCCAGGAGGGGGAACCGCGTCAACGTAGGTGCCTGTGGACTTCCAGGAAGCCATCTCTGCATCCATAGCTGCCTGCCACTGAGAGGAGTAGGGACCCTCTACGGCCTCCGCGTAAGAACGCGGAGTCGGGATGTCTAGTGCATCCGGGTCTCCCTCAGGGGCAAGCAGAACAGACGCGAGATGAGGTGAAGCAGCCGCTAGACACTGTAACTCCTCCTGCCTGTCCTCTAGGACGTCCGTGCTAAGAGCACACTCACCCCCGACGGACGGAGGACAGACAGACGCAGACTCAGCAACAAGACTAGCAGCGTAGTCGAGACGACAGCGAGCAGCAAAGTCGACGAGCTCAGCGACTAGAGCAGACGCAGCAGTGGACTCAAAAGAGGGGTCAGTGACGACAGTAGCAAGCAGACGCGTGAAAGTAGGGCTGGCAGCACGAAGAGAGTCCGACTCAGGGTCGGCAAGCGCAGGAAGAGAGGACTCAGGAGGAGAAGGCAAAGGGGCACGCAGAGGAGCAGTGGACGGACGCAAAGACATCCGGTGCGTGCCAGGGACAGGAGGAGGACGCTGACGCAAACTGCGACCACTACACGAGCAGCACGAACAGGTGACGCGGGACGAGACGCAGGCTCACGACGCTCAGCAAGACCTCCAGTAGGACCAGTGTAAGGAGAGGGAGCAGGCAGTGGAGAGGAAGGCTCCAGCAGAGACTGCGACTGGACAGGCGGTGGACCCTCTAGTGGAGGAGAAAGACCAAGAACCTGCTGCAGGAGCGGAACGAAGTACGGCCGAGGCCGCGCGGCAGCTCCAGACGCAGCAGGGAAAGCACCAGCACCCTCAGCGACAGCACCAGCGCCACCCACACCTCCAGCGGCAGGACCAACAGCAGTAGGCTCAGCACCAACGCCCTCAGCAGCTCCAGCTCCAGGAGGACCCGCAGGTCCAGCAGCTCCGGGACCGGCAGCACCCGCACCCTCGACGGTCGAAGAAGCTCCAGCTCCAGCTCCAGCAGCACCTCCAGACTCAGCAGCACGCCTCCAGCGGCGAGCGAACCACTCGCGCAGCTCCTGTGGAGAGAGGGGCTCCCGGCGAGACGCAGCAGCAGGAGAAACCCCAGGCTCAGCAGCTCCAGACGCAGCACCCCCAGGCTCAGCAGCTCCCGACCCAGCACCCCCAG